AAAGAAACTAGCTTAAAACTATTTCTATAGTAATTAGCTTTTTTAATATATATATAAAAAGGCTTATATTAATATCTATAGCTTTTTTAAAGGCCCTAAATTCGAATATTAAAATTTAGATAAATAGAATACTATTATATTAGCTTCTATAATAGCTAAATTTCCGGAGAAGACAATATTTGAGATTATTTAATTATTAATTAATAAACTATATTAATTATAGTATAGTCTTATATCTAATTTCTTTATAATAAGATTATTACTTCTTACTAAGGCTTCCGGATATATAAATATATAATCTCAGATCCTCTTATAAATCTTGGCTAGCTTATTAATAAGCTCTAGTTATTTATTATTATATATAAAAGTAAATAATAAGCTAATCCCGAAACTTTCTTTACTAATTAATAATACTATTTTCAAAATTCTCTAAGTTATTATTTTTTCGGAAATTATTAATATAGACCTAGCTATAATTTTAGAATTCGTAATAACTATTTCAAATCCTATAATTATAATAATTATATTTCGAAGTTATATTTTATATATAAGAAACCCGAATATTACTTATAGAAATATATACTAGAGAAATAAAAAACTAAAAAGGCTCGATTTAGGAATAGAAATATCTATTAGTTTAGATCCCGAAATACCTATAACTTTAATAAATACTTTAATAATACTTATATATAATATATTACTAAAGCTAAAAATAAAGAAAATAATAAAAGTAATAAGAACGAACTAGTAAATAATACTTTTAAGGCTTTATTAGTAGAAATAAATAAAGAAAAGAAATACTATTTAGATTTTTATTTTATTTTAGTTAAGAGCTTTTTAGCTACTTTTATTACTTTTATTTTACTAATAACTATAGCTAATATTTTTATAAATAATCTTATTTCTCTTTCCTTTATATATTAGATAATAAGCAAAAACTATATCTTAGAGTCTATTAAATTTTTAATAGAAAATATCTAGACTTTTATAATTAATAATATATTAAAATATAATACTTATTATTTTTATAGAATTATAATTAATACTAGAGCCTCTAGATACTTAATTACTAGTTCTAATTAATTATAAGCTCTCTAGTAAACTAATAATAGTATTAAACTTAATGAAATTACTAAAAGTTAAGTTAATATTTAGTTTAGTATTAGATTTATATTTTTTATTAGATCTATAATAATAAGTATACTAATTAAATAAGTATAATTCTATATTATATTTTTAAAAACTCTATTTTTATTTAGTTTAGCTAATATAAATAAGCTAGAAGTCTATTTTAATAATTTTACTAATTATTTTATTATTTTTACTAGAAAATATATATCTATAATATAATATTTCAAATACTTTTTCCTGCTTTAGAATACTATATTATAAGGCTTTATTTCCGAATTCTTTATTTATAACTCTTACTTTCTTATAAAAATTAAATTATAATATCTATATTATTATTTTAGTTATTTATTTATTAGTAAGCTCCGAAATATATTAGAATAAGTAAGCTATAATATTAATATAAAAACCCTTAAATATCTTATAAAATACTATAAATAATACTAGAAATATAAATAATTATCTAGATAATTTAAGTTTAATTTAAGAAATAATATTAGCTTTAATTATTTTATTATTATTATTATTTTCTATATTTTTAGTAAGCCTATATTCTATATTATTAATAAAGATATTTAATATTAAGCTAACTAATAGTTCTAGAATATTAGTATAATATATATCTAAAATATATTTAAATAATACTAAATTAATAATTATTTAGATCTTCCTAATTAGATTATAATAAATACCAGAAAGTAATTTACTAATAAGAAATTTATTTAGCTTATAAATATTATAGGAACTAAGATTAAGATTATTTCTATAGAAACTTATAATTTTATTAGAATTATAGAATATTACTATAGCCTAATCTAATATACCTATTTTATTATTATAGCTAAAGTTAATAGAATTAATAAGAATACTATATTCTAAATAGCTTTTAAGGCTATTAATAACTTTATAGAACCTAATAATATTATTTTAATTCTTTTAGTTTATAGTACTTTACCTTAAATAATTAAATATAATATCTTATTACCTATTATATTATAGTAATTAGTAGTATTTAAAAAAGTAATAGTAGAAATTTAGAAGCTTTAAGCTAGATATTAAATTAGGAATATTTTAAATACCCGAAATAGTTCTAGTATTACTAATATTTATAAACTATTATTAAATTCAAATATTCTTATTTAGTATAAAGAAAATACTAGTTAATCTAGTAATTAGAATAAACTATATAAGCTAGTAGCTATTAATAGGAAAAACTATATACTAGTTTTATTATATAGTAATATTACTTTCTATTTAATTTTTATAAAGCCCTTTTATATAAGAGATATTAAGATTATTACTAATAGCCCTAAACCTAAACTTATTCTCGAATCTAATAATAAGACTAAAAGTAATACGAGTATGATTTCTCTTATTATTTTACTAAAATATAATAAAGAATACCTTTATAAAACCCCGGGTATTATAATATTCTTATAGAATAATAAACTATATAAGAATTCCCATTAAGTTAAAGTTACTAGCCTCCTAAAAAAGAATATATTTAAGATTATTTCTAGATCTCAGGTATTAAAGAAAATATATATTTTTAATTCCCGGTTTATTAATAAGATTAAGAATAAAGATATAGAGAAAGAACTTAAAAAGTCGAGACTAGTTATCTAAACTTATAATAATAGTAAGAAATATATAATATTAATATAATTATCTATTATCTAATATATTAGCTAGAGAATTATTCTTAGTATTATTATTATAATAATAAATATTACGGAATTATATTTATATAATATTTCACAAGCTTATATCTAATTAATAACCTTATTTAATTATAATTTCTATATTAATTCATTTTATAAGCTTACTAGAGAACTAAATCTAAAGAATAATTCTATTCTAAAGATTATAAAACTATTATATAATATATTAGAAGCTAGAAACTACTAGTTTAAAACTTACTATTCCTATTATATTAATAAGTTCTTTATAAAATAATTAACTTATAACTCTTACTTATTTTATAATAAGTAACTTTTCGGAATTATTAGCCTTTAAACTAATAATACCCTATTTATTAAAACTAATAATTTTATAAAAGTAAAGTAACTAAAGCTCTATAAGGCTAAGTTCTTAACTAAGAAATATAAATCCCTTATTTTTAATTATAATCTCAAATTTAATAAAAATATTATCTATATAAATATTACTAGAATTACTCTTATATAGGAATATTAATATAAAAACCTCTGAACTATTTCTATAAAAAATACTACTATTATAAGTAATAGGAGTACTATTTATTAAAATTTCTTTATTAAGAATTAATATATTACCTAATATATAAAAGAAATATATATTATATTAGTTTATTAATTAGAAGCTTTATATAACTTATTAATTATTACTTAAGCTATTAAACCCTTAGAAACTAATATAAAGGTATTTAATAAGTATATTTAATAGTAAATTAAGAATATTACTAGAAGACTAAGATTTATAAAGCTAGTAAAAAAGTTCTTATATTTAATTATTTTTATAAATACTTTATTTATAAATAATAGAAATCTCTTTTCCTAAATTAGATATATTTTAGTTCTAGTAAATAGAACTAGATATACTAATATTATTTACTAGTTCTTTACTAAATATAAGAAAGTTACTAGAAGTATTCTAGTTTTAGAACTCTATAGTATAGCTTATAGTTTTAATATAAGTACTTTAGTTAAATCTATAATTAATAGAATACTAGAAATAGAACTATTACTAGTTATTTATATGAATTTAAAATTATTATATAAATACCTTATTAAATTAGGTATTATTTAAGAGAAATACCTAATAATTAATATAATATATCTTTATTAGGTATATAAATAATAAGAGATTATAGAAGTTAAATAAATTAAGGGAAAATTAAATCCTGCTAATTCTATAATAAAATTAAAATTAATAAATGCCCTTAAGTACCTAATTAATATAAATATTATATAATTAAATATAAAGAAATAAATTAAATATAAATAAAACAGAAAATAAATATATAGGATAGAAGAATATTATAGGAGAGAAAATTATATATAAAATGCTATGGCCTTTAGTATATAACTAAAATCTTAGAAGTAATATAGATATATAAAATATTTGGGAAATCTAGTACTAGGCCGGATTAGGGAATTTATATATAATTAGAAAAAAATACTATTTTTTGTATTTTTAGAGAGTTTCTAGTATTAGTATAACTATTTCTCTAGGAATTATATATATAGTTACGAGATATAGGATATAGGTAATAAGTAATAAAATATAGGTAATAAAATATAAAATATAAGATATAGTTATATAATCTTATATCCTATTAATAACTTAACTAGTAAACTAGACCTCTTTAGGCTTAGTAGATTTAGGGATTATATATTAATACTATAATACTATAATTCCTATTTCTAAAGAATAATTTTACTAACTATATATAAATAGTATTTCTATATTTATATAATAGTATTATATATTTCTAGTAAACTAATAAATACTTATAAAATAAGTTTATTTTTAAATAAAAAAATATAAGAAATAAGAAATATTATATTATAAATAATAAAAGTTATATTAGTATAATATAATATAAATAATATCTTAGAAATAATACTTTTTTTATATAATAATTAATTATTTTTTATATTTTATTTAACTTATTTCTTTTATATAATAAATAATAGTAATTATTAAATTTATATATATTATAATATAATCTAAGAACTTCTTTATTTTAATAGTATTTCTATTTATAATTATTAGTTTATTAGGAATACATAATACTATTATATAGGCATGAAAGTGCTATTTATATAAGGTTAGTAAAGTTATTCTTTTTAGAAGTAAGGATCGCAGTATTATGGTATTAATATGCGATCCCTAAATCTGCTAAGCCTAATGGGGACTAGCTACCGGTCGAGTCACTAATGGGACGCGAGGTCACATGACCATGTCCCGTGTCCCGTATCCCGTGACTACGCACGTGACTCCCAAGGGAATAGCTATACCAACACTGGAAACTCTCTAAAAAACGCGAAAAACAGAAAACAGTACTCCTCTCCGATCGCACGCAAATTCCCCAATCCGGCCTAGTGCCAGATCTCCCAAACGCTGTGTATCCATATCGCTCTTGAGGTTTTGGTCACATGCCAAAGGCCGCGGCCTTTTGCACGTGACTTCCCCTCCCATAATATCCTCCCTTCCCATATATTCATTCCCCGCTCTATTCGCGTTCGACCCATCCCTCCACGTCCAATTATATTGTGTTCGTATCAATGAGGCGCTTGAGGGCGTTCGATGGCTTCGATTTCGTTATAGAGTCGGCAGGATTCGATTCTCCCTTAATCCACTTGACTTCCGCGATCTCTCGTCGTTCGTACGCCTGGCGGAGGCACATTACGTCGATTATTAGGCGTTTCTCTCGAGTGGTGCCCAATTTGACGAGGCATTCGTACAGCGACTTCGAATCCGTACAGATGACTAGTGGTAGTTCCATTTCCAGTGCTCTGTCAATCATAGACTTGACTAAAGCGCCCATATCAAAACCGTGAGCCATACCGTAGAGTTCCAAAGCTAGAACGCTTCTGGTGACTCTCTTATATTTGGTGGAGGACTAGTAGATAATATTAGCGCGTCCAGTTCTATCTGCTAGAACTAGAACGTATCCGATTTGGGAGGAGAGATCTCTATTATTTGCGAACGAAGCGTCCGTAAAAATAATTAAACGTAAGAACTCCTTCGCTAGCTTCACGAATCTCAGTCCTCTGGCGGCATTCTCAAATTGCTATTAAATACGCTTATTAAGTGCCTTTACGTCAGTTTCCGAGGGATTAATAGCTTGAGTAATAATTAACAGGTCATATAAAGCTTCTGGTTAATAGACTAATGCAATATACGCTCCTCTAGTGCATTAGGCAATATATTAGTCCTTAATAGAGAGATTTTAACGAATAGTACTCTTATTACTTATAATAGTAGTATTCTTCATAAAAACAATTCAAAGGTTTTTATACTAGTGTTCCTATATAAGAGTAATTCCAGTAGTATCCGTATAAATAATACCTCTATTAAATTTGAGATTATAGTCAAAAGTAAGGAATTCACGCTCCTTAGCCAAGAACTTAGCCTCATAGAGCTTTAGTTACTTTACCTTTACAAAATCATTAGTTCTAATAAATAAAGTATTATTAGTTTAAAGGCTAATAATTCCGAAGAATTACTTGCTATAGAGAAGGCAAGAGTCATAAGTCGACTATTCTATAGAAAGCTCGTTAATATAATAGGAATAGTAAGTCTTAAACTAGTAGTTCCTAGCTTCCGGTACGCCATATAGTGGTTTTATAACCTTTAGAACAGAATTATTCTTTAGATTTAGCTCTCTAGTAAGTTCGTGAGGTAAGTTAATATAGAAATTATAATTAAGCAAGGTTATTAATTAGACATAAGCTTACGAGATATTACGTAAATATAATTCCGTAATATCTATTATTATAGTAGTAATACTAAGGATAATTCTCTGGCTAATACATTAAATAGTAAGTAATTATATTAATATTATATATTTCTCACTATTATTATAGGCTCGGATAACTAGTCTCGACTTCTTAAGCTCTCTCTCCGTGCCCTTATTCTTAATCTCATTAATAAACCGGGAGTTAAAGATATATATTTCCTTTAGTACCTGAGATCTGGAAATAACCTCGAATATGCCTTTTTCTAAGAGACTAGTAACTTTAACTTAACGGGAATTCTCGTATAGTTCATTATTCTATAAGAATACCATAATATCCGGGGTCTTACGAGAGCATTCTCTGCCATGCTTTAGTGAAATAGTAGGAATAGCAGGAAGAATTATGCCTGTATTACCTTTGGCCTCGCTATTAGGTTCGGGAACAGGTTTAGGTTCGGGGTTATTAGTAATAACCTTAATATTCCCTATATAAAAGGACTTTATAAAGATTAAACGGAAAATAGTATTACCACGTAATAAAGCTAGTACGCAGTCCTCTCCATTAATAGCTACTAGCTTATATAGTTTATCCTAACTACTAGATTAACTAGTATTTCCTTTATACTAAATAAGAACATTCAAATTCAGGAATAGTTTGTGAATATTAGTAATACTAGAACTATTTTGGGTATTTAAAGCATTCATAATTTAATATCTAGCTCAAAGCTTCTAAATTTCTACTATTGCCTTTTTAAGTACTACTAATTACTATAATATAATAAGTAATAAGGCATTATATTTAATTATTTAAGGTAAAGTACTATAAATTAAAAGAATTAGGATAATACTATTAGGTCCCGTAAAGTTATTAATAGCCTTAAAAGCTATTTGAAATACGGTATCCTTATTAATTTTATTAACTTTAGCTATAATAATAAAATAGGTATATTAGATTAGGCTATAATAGTGTTTTATAATTCTAATAAAGTTATGAGCTTTTATAAGAATAATCTTAACCTTAGTTCCTATAATATTTGCAAGCTAAGTAAACTTCTTATTAGTAAACTACTTTCCGGTATTTGCTATAATCTAATTAGGAAAGCCTAAGTAATTATTAATCTAGTATTATTTGAGTGCGTCCCAAATATATATTATACTAATATTCTAGAGCCATTAGCTAGCTTAATATCAAGTGCCTTTATTAATAATATAAAATATAGGCTTACTAGAAATATAAAAAATATTAATAATAATAAAGTAATTAAAGCTAATATTATTTCTTAGGTTAAACTTAAATTATCCGGATAATTAGTCATATTTCTAATATTACTTATAGTATTTTATAAGATACTTAAGGGCTTCTATATTAATATTATGGCCTACTTATTCTAGTATATTTCGGAGCTTACTAATAAATAAATAACTAAAATAATAATATAAATATTATAATTTAATCTCTATAAGAAAGTAGGAATTATAAGTAAATAATTCGGAAATAAAGCCTTATAATATAGTATTCTAAAGCAAAAAAAAATATCTAAAATATTATATTATAAATATATATTTTCTAGTAAAAGTAATAAGATAATTAGTAAGATTATTAAAGTAAACCCCTAGCTTATTTATATTAGCTAAGCTAAGTAAAAATAAAGTCTTTAAAGGCATAATATAGAATTATACTTATCTAATTAATATACTTACTATTATAGATCTAATAAAAGATATAGATCTAATACTAAACTAGATATTAACTTAATCTTTAGTAATTTTATTAAGTTTAATACTATTATTAGTTTACTAGAGAGCTTGAAATTAGTTAGAACTAGTAATTAAGTATCTAGAGGCTTTAGTATTAATTATGACTTTATAAAAGTAATAAGTATTATATCTTAATATATTATTAATTATAAAAGTCTAGGTATCTTTTATTAAAGGTTTAATAAGCTCTAATATATGGTTTTTGCCTATTATCTAATATATAAAAAAAAAGAAAAGTAAGGTTATCTATAAAAGTATTAGCTATAATTATTAGTAGAGCGGGAATAGTAAGAGTAGCTAAAAAGCTCTTAACTAAAGTAAAGTAAGAATCTAAGTAATATTTCTCTTCTTTATTTATTTCCGCTAATAAAGTCTTAAAAGTATTATTTACTAGTTTATTCTTATTATCCTTATTACTTTCTTTATCTTTAGCTTTAGTAATATACTATATATAAGTATTACTAAAGCATTTATTAAAGTTATAAATATTTCGGGATCTAAACTAATAGATATTTCTATTCCTAAATCAAGCCTTCTTAGTCTCTTATTTCTCTAGTATATGCTTCTATAAGTAGTATTCGGGCTTCTTATATATAAAACATGACTTTGGGATATAATTATTATAATTACGGGACTTAAAGTAATTATTACGGGTTCCGAAATTACGGCTAGGTTTAAATTAATAATTTCCGGAAAAATAATAGCTTGAAAAGTTCTAAGAGTAATATTATTAATTAGTAAAGAAGATTTCGGAATTAGCTTATTATTTACTCTTATATATAATAATAAATAACTAAAGCTTATTAATAAGCTAGCCAAGATTTATAAGAGAATCTAAAATTACGTATTTATATACCCGGAAGCCTTAGTAAGAAATAATAATTTTATTATAAAGAAATTCGGTAATTCGTAAATTAAGTATAAGACTATATTATAATTAATATAATTTATTAATTAGTAATTAAATAGTCTCAAATATTATCTTTTCCGGGAATTTAGCTATTATAAAAGCTAATATAATAACGTTTCATATAACTAAATTTCGATATTTAAATCCAGGGCTTTTAAAAAAGCTACGGATATTAATATAAGCCTCTTTATATATATATTAAGAGAGCTAGTTACTATAGAAATAGTCTTAAGCTAGTTTCTTTAATATAGTAAGAAAAGCTCGTATTAGTACCTCTTATAAAAGCTCTATATATTAGTAAATATTAAGGAAAATAGTAAGTTTATAATTAAAATTACTATTAGATTTATTATACTTTTACTCTTTAGTATAAATCTTAGTAACTTCCCTAATAAGTCTTATAATTAAAGGAAATTAGGGATTATTCGGATATAGTTATAATAGTAGTAATAGGACTAGTAAGAATATACTATTTATTTCTAGAGCTTTTATACTAATATATAAATCTAGTAAAGATATAAAATATAGTAATAAAGAAAGTAATAAAAGAAATAATAGTATAGGAATATTAAAAATAATAGATTCTAGGTACTTATTCTTTATAAAAATAATAAAGCCTAATAGGATTAGTTCCTTAATAAGATCTAGTCTAGCTACTAATATATCCTTATTTAACTATATGTACTATATATTTTCCTTTATAATAATATATAGGATATTTATAATAGTATTAGTACTACTATTCTATTATATAAATATGCTATTATACTAAAGAATTTTATATAAGTATAGTATTTCCGGGAATTCAAACTTATTAAAGTTCCTTTAATAAGTAAAATTCTTAAAGTTATATCTAAATAACTTCTAAAGATTATTATTAACTATTTTATAAAGAATATATTAAAATAGCTTAGTATTTAAGAACTTAGTTATCTTATTTACTCTAGTAAAGTTTAGGTTAATTTCATATCTCTATTTTCTTACTAATTCCTTATAATTATTATTATTTATAAAATAATCGGATTAGATAAATCTAATAAAGAAATTATTTACTATAGTAAGTTCTACTATTATATGTTTTATAGGCTTATATCTAGTTTAAGATATAATAATTTATAAGAAAAATAGATTTATAGAGAAAAGAGTAATTTATAAAATAGGTAGTTTATAGAAGATATTATTTTCGAGATAAAAATTTCATTTATAATAAGAAATTTAGGAAATAAAATTTAAGAAGTAAAATATTAAGATTCCGGAAGAACTTAATAGTTCTAAAGCTTAAGAGCCCTAGAAATTTAAAAGAAGATAGTTTTTAAGAGGGTTTTATAGGAATTAAATAGAAATAAAGTAAAATAGTTAAATAGCTAACTATTTTAGTACTTGGTAAGATTAAGTACTTTTCTTACTTATATAACTAAATTATAAGTAATAGAACTAATAGATATTTCCTCCTTTAATATAGTATAATTAGACCTTAGTAAGATTAAGTATCTTTCCTGCCTATATAACCGAATTATAAATAATAGAATTAATAATTATTTCCTCTTTAACTAGAATAATAGCTTTGCCCCTAAGTAACTGAATCTTAGGCAAGTATAGCTTAATTCTTCTCTAATTTATAAGTACTAACTAATTAGTATTAGTTTACTAGAAATATATAATACTATTATATAGGCATGAAAGTACTATTTATATAAGGTTAGTAAAGTTATTTTTTTTAGAAATAAGAATTATAATATTATAATATTAATATGCG